CCCCAAAACCCCAAAACCCCAAAACCCCAAAACCCCAAAACCCCAAAACCCCATAATATATATAGGTGGTTTGATCCAGAATCTAGAAATTTAATGATAACAATGGAATTAAACATTGATAGTTCTAAACAGTCTCCTCTTTTGTTGAGAATGAATTATAACTTAGCGGGGACCTTTCTAGCTGTGTCATTTCATCTTCTAAACAAAATTGTTTGCAAATCCTCACCTTCTAACACTTTTATTCTAAATCATGACCAATAGCAGCATCTAAAGAAGGTTATTGATACAGTTATGATCTAAAAATTCGAGCAAACTTTGCCAAAACACACCCTTGGTATTCGATCTCAAGTCCTTTTGGATGAAAAATTTCCCTAAAAATAACTATAAACTCTTACTTGTTTAGTGCTTTTACTTCGTAATCTATCTCCCTTTTGGCATCTTTGATACAAATATATGGAAGAAGACAAGTGAGGCCTCAAGTAAAAATTCCCAAAAAGAGACCAAAGATATAGTATCATATACTACATGGCCAGAATTGGAACAAAACATCGTTGAGTCTACCAATAGCTCTCTTAAATGCTACAAATCATTTCTAAAAGTTACGCTTGATTTCAATGTATTCTCCAAGAGCTTTCTCGCTATACCTCGTAGAGTAGGAGGGGGCTAATCCGCTGATAAACGTGCATGAATTTGGCATAACTTTGAACCTAGATTTCGATTATACCTCTCCTGTCTCAAACCCTAGCCTATAGTGAGCGAAGCCAATATTAATGAAAGGAAATGCCTTACAGAACTTTCCCACCATTCTGGTTCAGCTTTTCAAGATTAGTCAGTCTCGAGTCGGTTTCGATATCTCCTAGAACAAAATTCATCTGAAAGTTTTAGTGTCCAAGAAGCACATAAGAATTCAAAAGAAGCGGTCAGGGCTCTCTGAGCCCTGCTTAGAGGCCTTACGTATTTCTCAGTTTTCCATTTCAATTATTATTAGATGTTTCGGGGTTTTGGGGTTTTGGGGTTTTGGGGTTTTGGGGTTTTGGGGTTTTGGGG